GGAAGAGTTAAAAAGCAAAAAGTATATGCTTTTAATCAAATGTAAAGACCAGACAAGACATTATTAGCATAGGGTAGTAACTCTCCTTAGGCAATAGAGGGTTCATTTGAAACTATAATCGAAGTCGATGGACAAAAGGAACATACAACCATTTACGTGATTTCGGGGGGTACTAGAAACCTGTTTGGTAAGAACACAGCAGTCCGACTGGGTGTCTTAAAACTTGGTATCGGGATAAATCAAGTGGAGAGTAAAAGCAAGCCGATCCCCTTTAAAGAGAAGGTTGCAATCAAAATTAAGGAATCACTAAACAGTGATATAATTGAAGAAGTGCAAGGCCCGTCTAAATGGGTTTCACCAATGTTCCAATCATGAAAGAAAATGGTGAATTACGTTTGTGCGTAGATATGAGATGTACGAACGCCGTTATATTGCAAGAAAACCACCCCCTGCCTACTATGGACCATTTTTGCCTAAAATGAAGAAAGCTAAATATTTTAACAAATTAAGACTTAAAAAAATGCCTTCCATCAAGTGGAAATTCACTCTGAATCCAGACACATAACGACTTTTATAACCCCCAAAAGATTATATAGATATAAAAGAATAATGCTTGGAATTACCTGCGCTTCCGAGATTTTTCAGAAGATCATTGAAAGGATGCTGATAAACTGTGAAGGGGTCGTCAATTTTATTGATGATATCCTGGTATTCGGGAACAGTGAAGAAGAACATGACGCATGACTAAAGAAAGTTCTACAGGTACTTAGTAAAAACAACACCGTGCTGAATAGCAATAAATGCATATATAAAACGCAGGATGTGAATTTTCTGGGACACAGGCTTACACATGAAGGAGTAAACCCTTCAACAAGTACGTTGAGAGCATTATGAAATTTAGAGTCCCAAAGACCATAGAAGAACTCCAAAGTTTTTTAGGACTCTTAAACTACATAAACAAATGGATACCTAACTTGGCCGCCATGACAGAACTTCTGAAGCACCTGTTAAGACAGAAGATGAGCAAAAGGGAGAGCTTGGAAAAACAATGGTCTGGAGAACAAGATAAAGCATTCCAAAAACTCAAACGGATGCTCACGGAAATACAGATTTTAGGGTATTATGACGTCAAAGATGCAAGACAGGTGATAGCAGATGCTAGCCCTGTCGGACTTGGTGCTGTCCTTGTACAAAATGATACAAATGGCCCTAGAATTATTGCCTAGGGTAATCGAGCTTTGACAGACTGCGAGCGCAGGTATAGCCAAACGGAAAAAAAGGCACTAGCATTAGTTTGGGGGGTCGAACATTTTAATATTTTTATTTGGAAAGCCTTTTGATTTAGTTACTGACTACAAGCCGCTAGAGATATTGTTCGGGTCTAAGTCAAAACCATGTGCGAGGATTGAACGATGGATACTGAGGCTACAGTCTTATTCATTCAAGGTTATATACAAGCCAGGAAAAAACAAATATAGCTGATCCCTTGTCACGATTATGTAACTATCCTGATAACCCACCAAAAGGAAAAGACCAGCATGTGTACCAAATAGTGGAAAATTCTAGACCAGTTGCTATACCAATGAGTTCCATTGTAGCATATTCAGAAAAAGAACAAGAGATTTACAAAGTGAAAAAAGGTGTCTATCAGAACGACTGGGACGATTCGATTAAGAGTTACAAATTTTTTGAAAACGAGTTGTGTTTCCATGATAGCATTCTACTTCGTAGAAATAAAATTGTAATACCACTGCAACTCTGCAAGAGTGTATTAGATGCTGCATACGAGGGTCATCCAGGTATCGTAGCGATGAAGGGACGCTGGAGATCAAAGGTATGGTGGCCCCGTATCGATAAAGACGTAGAACAATTAGTAAAGGCTTGTAAATGTTGTACGTTAGTGGGTTTGCCAAGCCCAACTGCACCAATGAAGAGACGAGAGTTGCCTGCAGCTCCATGGATAGATGTCACAATGGATCTAATGGAACCATTGCCAAGTAACGAGTATCTGTTAGTAGTGGTAGACTACTATAGTCGATACAAAGAAGTAAACAATTACAAAAACATCACAAGCTTACAGATTATTAAAATGGTAAAAGAAATGTTCAGTAGACTTGGTTATCCTATTTCTATCACCGCAGACAATGGCAAGCAGTTCGTGAGTGAAGAGTTTCGATCCTTCTGCAAAGAATGTAACATTAAGTTATTTAGTACTGTACTATATTGGCCTCAAATGATCGGCGAAGTTGAAAGACAAAACAGAGATATTTTGAAACGTCTTCGTATCAACCAGATCGCGAGGAAGGATTTAAAAGAAATGTTTATGTGAGTATCTTCTAATGTATAACAGCACCCCTACTTACAGTTACCGGGAAGAAGCGTCTGAACTGCTTTTTCACCGAAAAAGTAGGGATAAAATTCCATCAATAGGTGAAATAAATTACAGACAATCATTTAGATTCAGATATCAGGGATAGAGACAAAATACAAAAAAGGAAAAGGAAAAGAGTATATATATAGGAAACGCAAAGCAACTCGCTCAGATATAATACAAGTAGATAAGGTTTACGTAAAAGCAGTGGAAAATAATTAATACAGACAATACAAGCTGCTTTGTGATTGTTATGAGTTATAATGAAAAAAAAGAAAAAAAATCTTGATAAGAAAGAGATGTAGTGTTTGCTTATATGTAGTATACAGTAAATATTGTTATTTGTTTTATTTACTAATAATTTACCATGCACAAATACACAAACATACATTTATATATAAGTCACTGTCTCGAGCGCACCGCGTCAGTTACACGAGAGCCTCGCGCGAGAGTGGACGTGTTGTTTAGTTAACGTGCGTGCCGAGCCTGTGTTACACTACAGTGGTTAGAGAAGATAGCAGACATTACACACACAAACACACACATACACACACAAACACACACATACACACACACACACACACGCACGCACACACACACACACACACACACACACACACATTATACTATTTCTATTTATTTTAGTATTGTATTATAGTATAATTCTCGGTGCCGGCCGGTCGAAGTACATTGGAAACAAACATTCGTTTTAATTATTATCAACACCGTATACCTGAGTACTGTGCCTACGTCGCGATGTGTTCAACGACCAGCCAGTCGCAATCTAATCGTCTGACGCGAATACTTTGCCGCTTGCGCCTACGCTGACCTTTGTCCTTACGCATAACAAGTATTATTTTAGTGCTATCTTATGTTAGTGACTTTAAACTGTACTTCCTGCTATCATCTCTTATCTATTTGTAATCTTATCTATCGCCTTCTGCTTCTTCACGTGAGACTGTTTCTATGTGTTGTGCCGTGAGATATATAACTGTCTAACCGTGATTTATTTGTTTATTCTGGCGACAGACTTACCATCAGGTACCATACTACCACAACCTTATTCTCCATAACTGGTGACCCCGAACAGAACATTTAAGAAAGATAAGCAGTGACGGTAGTGACACAACGCATTCGCAAAGAAGGGCGCGGTCAACGAAAATACGAAATTCCACTACTTTCTTTCGCATTTGGACCGGCAGTATGCAGTAGAGGTAGAAGATATTATTACTTGGCCTTCAGCCACCGGGAAGTACGAGAAACTTAAAAGTGAGCTAATCAAGCGTCTTTCTATTTCGAAAAAAAAGAAAGTGAAACAGCTTCTACAGTCGGAAGAGTTAGGTGATCGCAAGCCATCACAGTTCCTGCGTCAACTTCAACACCTCGCTGGCCCTACGATACCAGACGATTTTTTGAGGTCACTTTGGAGACGAGCCGCCTTCCAAGCAAACTGCAGACCATCAACGCATCCCAGATGAGGGTCCACAATATCTCACCGGCATCGCCGCTGGTTGCAGCAACATCTAGCTCCAGAGTGGACTCCACATTAGATATTATGGCACGACAGATCACGGTACTAACAAAACAGGTTAGTGCACTCACTACGAGACTTAGCGACCGCTCTCGCCTCCGCCAACGACAGACGTCACGTGGGAGAAGGTCCCAGTCTAATTATAGGAAGTTGACCCCAACTGCTGGTACCATCACAAATATGGCAGCAAAGCGAAGAGGTGCATCCAGCCATGTGACTACAGATCGGGAAACGAAACAGGCAATCTATAATGGCGACTGAAGATTGTCCGTCCCCGACTACTGGTCGCCTTTTCGTGACAGATCGCAGATCGCGAGTTCAATTCCTGGTGGATACCGGAAGCGACTTATGCATCTTCCCTCGATCTGCGCCTCATCAACGACGTGCGAAGACGGACTACCAACTGTGTGCAGCCAACGGTTCACCAATAAACACATATGCTTATGTTGAGCTCAATCTTAATTCAGGCCTACGTAGAGACTTTGTGTAGCGCTTTACTGTAGCCGATGTAAATAAAGCTATTATAGGCGTAGATTTTTTGTCACATTTTAACCTTATTGTCGACGTTCGTAATAAGCTTTTAATTGATGCCACTACTAAATTGTCAGCTGTAGCTTCTACTGCTTCTAGCTATAGCCGTATTTTGAGTGTTAAGGTCGTGACTGGTGATTCTAAATTTCATAAAATACTTTCTGAATTTTCAGAACTGACACGACCGGCAGGTGCTCATCGCACACCCAAGCATCACGCAGTACATTACATCCGTACCACTCCAGGCCCTAAAGTATCGTGTTCACCACGCAGTCTCGCCCCTGACTAGCTGAAAATTGCCAAACTCGAGTTCGAGGCAATGTTGGCAAATGGAACTGCTCGTCCTTCCCAGAGCCCCTGGTCGTCACCACTACATCTCGCTTCCAAAAAGGACAATGGTTGTCGACCATGCGGTGACTATCGCATGCTCAACGCCCGGACAATGCCAGATAAGTACCCTATCCGACACATAATAAATAAAAGGCATATAACCAGATATCAATCTTTGAGGCGGATATTCCCAAATCTGCCATTACGACACCTTTTGGACACTTCGAGTTCCCATATATGACGTTCGGATTGCGCGGAGCTAGTCAGACGTTCCAGAGGTTCGTTGATGAGATGACCAGTGGTCTAGATTTTTGTTACCCATACCTTGACGATTTCCTTATATTTTCACGCGTTGAATTAGAGCACGGAAAGCACCTTCGTCAAATATTTACGAGGATGAAGGATTATGGCATGCTCATCAACACCGCTAAATGCGTTTTCGGTGCATCAGAGGTAACATTTCTAGGCTACCACATCTCACAACATGGAACGAAATCACTGGAAGGTAAAGTTCAGGCTATAAAGGAGTACCCTGTTCTTAAAACAGCCAAACAGCTTTGGAGGTTCTTGGGCATGATAAATTTTTATAGGAGGTTTATCTCCCAAGCTACCAAAATCCAAGCCCCCTTGAACGCCTTTCTGAATGGCGCCGTAAAAGCATCGCATCCGGTTAATTTAAATGGAGACTCGTTGAAAGCCTTCGAAGACTGCAAGGAAAGTTTATGCAATGCAGCATTGTTGTCACATCCTGACTCAGAGGCAAAACTAGGTCTTGTAACTGACGCTTCTGATCTTGCAATAGGTGGAGTCTTGCTACAGCAAATTGGTTGTGATTGGCAGCCCCTAGCCTTTTTCTCTCGTAAAATGAGCCCGTCGCAAAGGAAATACTCACCGTACGATAGGGAGCTCCTTGCTGTTTACGAGAGCATTAAGTACTTTAGACATTGGCTAGAGGCAACACCATTCACCATCTATACCGACCATAAGCCGCTGTGCTTTGCATTTCGCGAGCGAAAGGCAAATTGCAGTCCACGGCAATTTAGGCATCTAGACTACATATCACAGTTCTCAACAGACATACAACACATCGCCGGGAAAGATAATGTCGTTGCTGACACGCTTTCCCGGGTTGAGCAAGTCGATGAACTGCTAAGCCCTGTAGATCTAGATGTCATTGCCAAAGCTCAAGACTCCGATCCTGAATTTGCAGATTTGCTCAGGCAGGGCACTTCCTTATAAGTTGAAAGAATAAAGATACCTGGTAGTCGCAATGAACTATACTGCGACGTCAGCACAACGACTCCCAGGCCTTTAGTCGCTAAAGCCTTACGCAAGCGAATTTTTGATAGCTTGCACTCGCTAAGCTATTCCGGCACTAACGCTAGCGCAAAACTTGTGGCAGAACGCTTTGTCTGGCTACTGATGAGGAAAGACTGTCGCGAATGGTCTAAGGCGTGCTTGGCTTGCCAGCGCACAAAGGTAAATTGACACGTTTCGACGCCTTTTGATACGCTCGATTTACATACGGCGCGATTCAAATACGTCCAATTAGACCTTATCGGACCTTTGCCTCCGTCTGGTGATTATTGGTACTGTTTGACAGCTGTCGATTGCTTCATGCGATGGACTGAAGCTGTACCACTGAAATATATCACAGCGGAATCAATGGCTAAAGCGTTTTTATTGGGATGGATAGCGCGGTTCGGTTGCCTTACCGATATTGTTACCGATCGCGGTAGGCAATTTGAATCAACGCTATTCGCGCAGCTGTCAAAGTTCATTGGCTTTAACCAGGACTATCAGCTATCACCCTCAATGCAATGGTCTCGTCGAAAGATTTCATCGGCAATTAAAAATAGCAATTATGTGCCATGCCGATACCAGCTGGACTGAAGCTTTGCGAATTGTGCTTCTCGGCATAAGAAGCTCTTTCAAAGAAGATTTTCAGTCTTCCTCAGCCGAGTTAGTATACGGCGAGCCATTGCGACTTCCTGGTGAACTTTTTGGCCACAAAGTTGACAAATGTACGACTGACATAACGGACTTTTCAGCCCGTATCAGATCATTTGCCAATAAGTTACAGTCAGTGCCAACTTCACACCATGCAAAAAACAAAATCTTTATTTATAAAGATCTAACATCTTGTTCGCATATTTTCCTCAGAGAAGATAGTTTGAGAGTTGCGTTACAACCGGCATATATGGTGATGTGGCGACGCACAAATTTATTTATTTTATTTAAAGAAATAATTATTTCACAGATATGTATATAAACAATTTAATATTAATATTATAATATTTATTATATTTATATATCTACAACACAATTACACACACACACACACACACACACACACACACACACACACACACACACACAGACACACAAACACATATATATATATATATGTGTGTTCCAAGGACACATATATATATATATATATATATATATATATATATGTGCTGTTCCAAGCACACCTGGCAGACGACTGCCTGCCCTTGTGCGTTTTTCGCACGACCGAAAGTCAAACCGGTATGAATGCACCGCGCCGAGCGCCCTCTCGCGTCAATCCTTGAAACTAGCGCTTGGTGCGAACAAACCCCCGTCCCGGACATAAGGATTTAGGTCCGCGAGCAAACCGGTCAGCGGGACAAGGTCGCGACGGCAAGTTGCAAGACCGAATCTACAACCAAACTAGGCCACCTTAGGCACCCCATCAGATCTTGCAACCCTAACCAACGCCTCAAAATTACGCCCCAACGTGGGCAAGCCGGAGGGTTGAACTGGATGCCCTTCCTGGACATCGCAGCCCATAGATAAGTCCTATTCTGGACAGAAGTCTGACGACCTCTTTCAACATCTATCTGTGCCCCTATGATTAGTTCCGCAATCTGACCGGATCAGCTCTGCAACCAGCGGCGCTACACGAAGCTGCCCAGTTAAATTTTGTGCCAGCAGTTGCTTCAGTGCAGAGCGCACCCACAAATTCCACATGAACGTCGTCTGTGGAGAGTCGAACGAAACGCACAGACAGTCCCTAGTATGAATTTTCAACAAGTAGGCCTAGCCAGGCCACCCACCATATTATCATTTACTAAATAGTGCGGCAGCTGATTTCAATCTGATAATCTCCAAAACTAGCTAGCATGTTAGACAAGTAGTCCTATGCTCATATTTCAACTAATTGTTCAAAAGCATCAATGTTCAACTACAGAATCAATTCAACCAAATTAATCACTGATGCGCATAGGTCAACTTGCAAATTAAACAAAACAATAACGTAAGGGACAGCCCTACTTCTTCGCAAAGCAAAATGATTAAACACTATCATAAACATATACATAATTTTTCAAATAGCGCGCCATTCAATTTCAAATGAATTCAAATTTTCCTTTCAGCAAACAGACGCAACAATTAAAATACAGTGATTAAATATATTTCCAAAACACATGCAGTAGCATTTAAAGGAGTAGATTAAATTCAATTCTTTTAATTTAAACCGCTACAATAGGAAAATTTCGCGGAAAGCCCAAAGCATTTTTTAATTTTAATTCAAGAATTTTTTGACTAAGTGCTCGACCAAACCAAATCTAATACCCCTTGACAGCGTGATTCAACGCTCCAGGGGGGCCCTAATCTTCCCACCACCAAGGGGAGGTCACATGGCATGAACCCGAGATCAATAGAGCACAACCGCTAACAGTCGCCACTCGGGTTGTACGCCTTCACAGAGGCCGTCGGCAACAGAAGATTTTGACAAGTGGATTGTTGACGGCTTAAGGCTCAGTGGAGGCGGCCGTGGTGGGAGCTAAGGCGGCAGCTAGCCAGGGCCGCCTCCATCAAATGGGGAACAGTGGTACACCAGTCGCGGCCACTCAGCTAACGGGAGTGAGAAGGGTCCAGCGGACCGATGAGTGGCCGTGAAGTTCCTCTCCACACGCTGAGCCCCCCCTCATGTGATGAGGCCCCCGTGATGACACCCCCGCCCCTGGGTGAATTACCCCCCGACTGGTCGGGGGAGGGACCCCTTTCAAACTTAGGGGCCTGGTGGCTGCCCGGCAGAGGGCGTGGCTGAGCGCCCCCGCCCGTGGGGGTCGAGGGCCTGGCAGAGCCCCGAGAGGAGACGCCGTTCGCACTCAGGCACAAAACGGCATGATGATTGCCCTGGCAATGCAGACAGGGCCGCCGATGCGGACAGTCTCGCTGGAGGTGTCCTCCCAAACATGAGCAGCACCAGCGGCGCTCCTTGGCGATAGTTCGCCTCGCCGGAACCGGCTTACCTAATAATTTCGGGCACGACGTTACCCGATGATCAGACGCTCGACAATACGAGCAGGGAGGGGTTGACGACGACTTGCCTGGAGGATTCAGCCTCTCACTGGGCACGGCTCGTAAGTCGTCAACGGTGCCCGCCGCGTTCTCTATCTGCCGGCACTGCTCCTCCAAAAACCGCAGCAGGTCATAAAAGGGTGGAATATAGGAGGCCTCGTCCCCGCCGTACCTCTCCTCAAAATGGATTCGAAGGTCGAGAGGTAGACGGGACAGCACGATGCGGAGTAACAAAAAAGCCCATTCGCCCACTGGTAAATCCAGCCGCCTCAACGTATTACAGGCCACCAAGACTGGATCCAACAGGTCCGGACGCAGTCTGGCCCGGTCACTAAGCAGCGGGAGGCTTAGAAGCTGCTTAACATGTTCGTCCGCAATTTGCCGGACGTTGGCGTATCTTCTGGCTAGGAGGTCCCGAGCAGTCTGGTAGGCGTCGTCCGACAATCTCAAGTGGCCGACGACGCCCAGGGCCTCCCCCTCCAGTGAGGCCAGGAGGTACACCATCTTTTGGCTCGGGGTCAAGTCACTCCGGGCGTCCACTAGGCTGTCGAAAAGACCCACGAAGGTCAGCCATTCGGAAAGGACCCCGGAGAAATTTGGCAGGTCCAGAGTTGGGAGTCGTCCCAACAGCTCCGGCTGAAGCTGCTTCAGAGAGGACTCGGACAGGTCACTCATCCGAGCTTCACGCGCCTCCTCGGCATACCTGCCTTCAGCCTCGATTAACTCGTCCGTGAGCCACAAGAACTGCTCATAGTCCGCGAAGCAGGAGTGCAGGACTCCCTTCTCCACATCCGAATCCTCGAGCTCAGCGTAAGCCTCCTCCACTGCGGCCCTTCGAGCATCCACCTGCTCGAACCGCTTCATCAAGTTATGGACCCTATCCGGTCGACCTATCAAAGCATGGGCGCTTGTGGCCCAGCGCAACTCAGTCCGCAGACAACGGATCAGTAGCTTGGGCGATGACATTACTATTAAATACAAATTACGACGCGGCTCGAGCACAAATTACAAAGATAACAAACAAAAAATACAACAAAAATTAACAGATAATAAATGCAGTTCCTATCTAATCGCGTTGAATAGAAATTACACAAATACGAATTACTACGTATCAACCAAATACAAGTTAGCACAAAAGAAAAGACACAAATCAAATTAACAAATAACAAATACTAGTGCGATCAAATCAAGTTAAATTCAAATGGCGCAAATACCATTACTACTCTTTAGTTCAAATACAAATTACAATACAAATAAGATACACATCACGGTTGATTAACAAAAATGCCTAGCTCGGAAATCGACCCTTCGATAAGTAATCCACTACAACTATCCGACAACGATAATTAACCGATTACGTAAAAATAACCACCTAAATGACGTATATCTCTAGAAAACTTCCGCTTGCGCAACCTAGGGCGCGGCTTTTCAAATCTACTCACTAACCAAAAAAAAAAGGCAAGCAACAAACAACAAAGGGAAATAATTTTATTATTACGTACAAAAAAATATTTTTACGTATTACGGACGGGCCAGATTGTAGATACAAATTAAACCAATCAAACCAACGCTCCCTGCCACCAGAATTGTTTAATGTTTATCAAACACTATGGTAGGGATCGACCGGTGAATCGAACCCGGAACCGCGCTCTGCTACCAGTTTGTTACGGCCTACGGCTGCTCCCTTAAAGGGTCAAATCCTCAGGGGCCCATGATCTGAAGACTTCCGGAGCAGACGTAGGTCGGGCCTCAATGTGGCCACGTGGAATCTCTCTAATTACACTAAATATGTGGGGGAGCGTTCTATACTACGGCCAGTCAACCGGCAGAGGAATTAGGCGAAGCTTACTTACCTATATCCAAGGCGACTGGTCCTTACGGAGTCGGTCAGGTCACATGTGGTTGTGTAG